TTTTACTAAACCTGTGGTCCTAGAAGGCATAATGGTTTCCAGCTGCAAAGGCGTGAGTTCTCTGTGTTAGTAGGAAGGAGTAACAAAACACGCAATCTCATTCCATTAAAGCCCGCTTTTTACATACCCCCCACCCCCATCAAAGGGAGGTGGTTTATATAAACTGTCATTTCTTGAAAGCATATGTCAAAGCACTAGCACAGATGGAAAGTAAGCAAAATAACTTCACAAAAGTTAAGAAATTAAATGCGTATGTACATTTATAAATCGCCCTCACAAATGTGGAATTGGCGATTGACTGGAAAAGAGCAGTTGCTCGGATTGATGATCACCTGATAAAACCTTCTTGTAACATTTTATTCAACTCAACTGAAAAATAATAATCCCTTCCACTTACTTTCTCTTATAAAATACTAGGATTGAAAAAAATTGAAAGGTTAAAACCTCTCTCGTTCTAGACCCACGAGCACCGACTTTGAAGAATGGCCAACTGATGCAGTCTGTGATTTTCTTCGACAATTGGGTCTAGACTATTGTCTTGCTGCTGCCAGAAGTTGGATCAAGACAGGTGCTGATCTTATCAATGCCAACAACGTTCAAATCCAACAGGTAAATTTGAGTCAATCCTCGATGTGTCAGAAGCTAGACTATATATTACTGATCCACTCTCTTTTCTATAGAACCTGGGTCCTTTAAAGCCACTTCACCTGAAGAAACTCCTTATCCACGTCAGTCTTCGCACAACTCAAGATTTAATGTCAACTCGGGATACGGCTTTCCTACCCAGCATTAACCCCCATCCGGACTTCAATGTTTGTGGTAAGGTGGTAGGCTTTGTAATCGATGAATGTAAACACTGTTTGTTGAGGACTTATTATGAGCAGACGAATGCTAGTTACCACTTTAACTAACAGAAAATCCCCTTGATGCACTTCCTCTGCAGACCACCAATTGATTTCTCTGCAGGTGGTCTTTAAGCCTTTTCCTTCTCTTTATAAAGGAAATTACGAAAATAACTTTAAACTGTAGCGGATTGCTACTTTATTAAAGTCTCGAACATGTAGCGGATTGCTACCTTCGTAAAGCCTTGGTTAAAGACTTGTAGCGGATTGCTACCTTAGTAAAGCCAGACCGGTTGAGAATTGTAACGGATTGCTACCTTAGTAAAGCCTGACCGGATTGCATTGTAGCGGATTGCTACGCTAGTAAAGCCTGACCGAAATCTCTATGGCAGATTCTCCAACACCTAGCTAGACTCCCAGAACAGCTAAGCTATAGCTCCACGGATTGCTACGCTAGTAAAGCCTGACTGACTCAGAAATATTGCTACTCTAGTAAAGCCTGACTAACTCAGAAATCTCTGGCTACGCTAGTAAAGCCTGACTGACTCAGAAATCTCAATGGGAGATCCTCCTACATCTAGCTAGACTCCCAGAACCAGCTAAACCAAAGGAAACAGACGTGTAGCACGGAGCACGCCCAGCTATAAAGAAACAGACGTGTAGCACAGAGCACGTTTATTCAGGACGTAAACTGCGGATCAAGTGAACACGCAGGGAGCTACTCATGATCAGGATGGGGGATTAGGTTAAACAGAGGTTAATGATTGGTCACTGGTTGTACGGTCGCTGCACACAGAGTTGTACGGCTGCACCTCCCAATCCTGACGAGCAGACATGCAGGCATACGATGACGCACACAGCGATAACGTGTCCCACAAACTTCAAAGCATTTTCAAGTACTATTTGATTAAAGAAGGCCTTCCTAGTTATTAACATTCAAAACGTCTAGTCATTCGATCTGAAGAGAGCAGAATAACTTAGTTAAAAGCTTTCAATTTGCTCTTTGATTAATCACAATTCTCATATTTAGTAATAATTTATTCAAACACAGTAGATGAATCGGCAATATCGTGATCTTATTTCTAATACTCAATAAAGAAAAGCAAAGCTTCTATTGGGAAAAGTGTTAACGGCATTCGACCTTAATAGAGTAAAGACCTGCTGAAACCGGTATTATGAGAAACTCACATTCTACTATTCCTCTCGTTGACCGAAAAATGTGCCAATTTAGTTTGCCATCTCAATTACCGGATGAGCACCTTGTATGCGCATCGATCTACGATAAAAACCGCAATCATATTCGCTTTCATATTCTGAAGTGTAGTACTTCGAAGGCTGTTGGATGAAAAACTAGCATTTCTTGTTACTCTCCCTTCAAATCACTCTTAGTCGAGGCCCTTTAGCCACCTCACTGAGAAATACCATGGTGATAGACAGTTGATATGTGGGAGGCAGGCATGTAGATTACCACATTATACCCTACAATTTTTAGTGTTTGATTATATAAAACAAGAATTTTGTCCATGACTCTATGCATGTTTTTTGTCTCTTTCTGAAGTGATTGTACAAATAAAAGTCTGTGTTTCAAGCAATAAAATTATTTCGAACTCCTTTAAGTTAGTGTGGG